CTCTGGTATGAAGAGGCTCGTCACCACACTGCCAATCACGATTTGTTTGAGGACACGTGTCGACGGAGACTGAAACGGCCACACACCGAAGAACGACATCATGTACTTCATCAGTGAGTACGCCGGATGGTCGAACAGGTCCATGCTTCTCGGATACGGTTGAAGATGCGCGACAACAGTGAAAAACACGAGAAACCTATAGGCGCGAGAATAACGGCTGGAAAACGGTGCCAGCTGTTGCGCGGAACAGGTGTGCGTAAAGTATCAAAGTATAATAGAGCACAGTTTCCCGAATGTCTGTGGGAAACTGTGCACCTGCCAATCGAGGCGATCGTATTCCTATGAAATTCTTCCGATTAGAGAAATTCCTCTAGCCAGATATGTTTCCCGATAGCAGTCAGTTTGCATACACCAAACTTTCAGTCGGTACCACCGATGTATAGTAATAGTCTGTTCTTGTAGTCTCTGCGAGAAATAGTTTGTTCGCGTGATTTCTTAGGAACATTATGGAGGTTCGAGAAGGCCGTGTAAGCCGTACATATCCATGAGGAATTCTTTCCCGACGTGCTTCGCTAGCGGTGTATGGCGTATGAAACGCTTCTTAGAAACAAACTATTTCTCGGTATCGTAGTACGTGGTACAGGCAGAGATTTCTTTCGAACTTTCGAATTTTCCAATTTCGATAACGCTAGATTTGAGAGAGAGAGAGAGAGAGAGAGAGAGAGCTGTACTGTTGCGCACTCTGGAACTCGACAAATTGGTCGAATCGCGCGCATCCCTGAATTCCTCTTTCCGAATAACGATGGTTTCGTTGGATAATTTCGCGTTAGCGATAAGCCAATTAGCAGAGCCGAAGCATCCGCACTGCAACTAAAGCCGGTGATTGGTTTCAGTTGAACAAAGCGACGCGGTTGTGCTACGAGAAAAGGTACAGCGAATTCGTCCAGTCCATCCCGCCGATGACCACGTTGGTCTTGGCGTTGATCAAGTATGGGAACGTGATGTCTAAAATGGAAACGGTAAGTTCCTCGGTGTTGATCGAATCGATCCAACTGTTCCAGATCAACAATTATCAGACGATAATTCGTGTTCTCCAGGTGAAGAGCATTCTCTTGTCGATCAAGAAGGACAATGAGCGGTACCGGGACCTGCCCGAGTCTCGAATCCTGGATACATACAATATGCAGGGAAGACTTTTCATTCAAATTCTTGGAGGTAAATCCTAAAGGACAAACCTTATCGAGAAGACGAAAGAACCTTTCGGACCGTCGACGTCGCGTTTCTGTTTCAGGGTATCTGTTTGTCGCAACGCTGATATTCCTGTCGCTTCCCACGCCCAACATTATAAAGGACGGTAGGAACCTCCGGAACGTATCCGAGCCGAGAACGTTATACCCAGTGGACTACAACGTCGACCACGTAAAGTATTACGTTCCGATTACCGTGCACGCTTACTTGGTATCCTGCCTGGTGGTATACATGATCGTGGCGATGGAGTCGTTGTTTATCGTAGTCATCCAACACTCCTGCATTCTATTCACTGTCGCGGGGTACGTGGTTATCGGAGAGAGAGTTTACTTGTTGGGAAATTGGATCTGTGAAACGGTGTGTCTAGGTATAAGCTGAAAACATCGCACATTTTGAACGAAAGTATCCCGTATCGAGGTGACGAGTGGACATCTGTGAACGTCCAGGATTTCTCAGCGGAAGAGCAGCAGCGCGTCTTCCGGAATATTCTGCGTTCCATCATGGAGCACAACAAGGCCCTCGAGTGAGTATATACTCGAGCAAATTCAATTTCAACGATTCCAAATAATATAACGTCGGCTGGAATGATGGGGAAAAATCAATTTCAATATCACCTAATCAAAAGTAGTAGAAGAGTAGAGAATCGCCAACGATGCTTCGATGCTTCAGATACGTAACGCTTCTCCAATCAACATTCTCGACAGCGTTATTCTTTCAAATTTCCCTGACCATCGGCTGCATGAGCTCCAGCGCGGTTCAAGTATGTGAGATCGCGCGAGATGCCAATCACTCTCTCTCTCTCTCTCTCTCTCTCTCTCTCTCCTCTCATCTCTCGATGGCTTGAAATGTTGCAGCTACTATGGAATTTGAACAACTTGGACATTGTATTGGGAATGATTCTCTGGCTGGTGGGCCAGGTAATGCACTTACTCTTCCTCTGTCTTAACGGGCAAAGGCTCTCCAACTTTTGTGAAAACCTCTACTACGACGCGTAAGGACCGACACACTGCCAGTATCGCCAGCAGCTCGCAAGAAACCAATGATCGAATTATGTTTGTAGGATGCAGTGCCTATGGTACACGTTTTTCGCCAAGAGTAAGGTCGTTTATCGGTTCTTGATTATGAACATTGCCACGCCCCGCCAACTGGTCGCCATGAAGCTGGTGGTCTTGAACATGCAAACCTTCCAAACGGTTCGTATACACGATCAGCGTTAAGCTTTATTACGATTAAATGCCATTTTCCTTGACAGGTGGCACGTTTGTCAGCCTCGTACTTCACGGTATTGTCATCGACGTTATGAGCAGCCTGGAACCAATATAGTCAAACGAGCCGAGTATTGTAACAACTGTCGTCGAGTATGCAATAAATGATTGTATTTTCTGCTTGACACGACGGTGTCTGTTCACGATATCCTGAATGCGAAAGCTCGAGTTTCGGTGAATCTAGCGAGGAGAAGAATCAAAGTCGAAATCGAAGTTTCAAAATCGAAAGTTTCCCTGGAAAACTAATCGCGTTGATATAAATTGCGTGTAGAATCATGAGAGATAGATGAAAGTTGATATACCTGAGATGGGCAGGTTAGGTCACATTCCCTCGTACATTCGACTGCAGCTCTATAAATGAAGGTAATCTTAAAAGTAACTCTCGACCTATCAACATTTCATCAAATATTCAATATGTTTGCCCCTTAAAATCTGAAAACATTGACAACATATTTAAATATGAAAGTATGAAAGTATGAAATGATGAAATGATGAAATTAAAGGAAATAAAATGCATGAGATCCGTCAACTCGAAGAGCCCTCCAATGGAACAGTACCACCGGCTTACAAAGACTATTCCTCGTTTCAGCGAAACTCGTACCCTATCGATAGAAAAGGAACAACGGTTGAAAGATCGTAAAGATTACTTTACCAAAGGTATCCCCAAGCTGATCACGCTGCCGAGCACGAACGTTTGCTTGAGGACGCGCACGGACCTCCGCTGGAACGGCCAAACGCCGAACGCGGTCAGCAACTGTTTCGCCAGCGAGTACGCGGGCTGATCGAAGAAGTCCATCGTCGCCGGTTTTCAGCAGCACTCGCCACGCCTCGACTCGACGCGCGGAGAGGATCGTATGCTGCAACTCTTGCAAATGTTGTTGTTAGCGCGGTGGTTGCCCCGTATTAACACTGAAATTTACATGAGCAGCGATTCCCACGCCGTTTCCGCGACCGTTACTAGCCCGGGAGAAAAATTGTTATCGATCACGGGAGAAAATGGTGCTTGTTGCGGGGAACGGTATCGGGAGCTCTGTCAATCGACGTACGTGGGAACCGTGTAGTTGTCGGTTTGAATTTCCAGATGCCTCTAGTCGAATTACCCACACGAAACGACCATATTCGACTCATCTTCGGCTGATCCTCGACCTAGAGGGGCACCCGCTCGTCAGTTATCGTCTCTCGGCTGATCCGAGAAATAATTCTTCCTTCGTTCTATTCTCATCTTTTCATTCGATCGTACGTTCGGATAACCAACACTGTTTTTCATATCACCGTTCTTTCTAGTACTCGTACTTCCAATTGAAATATCGAACATTCGATCGATTTCTTCGTTGAAAATAGAAAATCGAGGAAAATATCTAGAATGGGAAAGGATAATCGAGGAGAGGTGAGTAGTTTCGAATTAGTAGACTCTCGGGATCGAATCGATCGGCGCGTCTACACAGTGTAGCGCGTTTTTCAGACTCGTTGGGAGAACACGGACCAAGAACACGACACACGGCCTTTGCGTGGAATTCTCAATTCTCTGGAACTGGAGATCCGGCATGATCGAATTATTCCCATTGTATCTGCAGAACAAGCAGAATTTGCAACTTTTAATTATCCTTTATACTATCCTTTTCTACATTCTTTAATGAATTCTTGACGATACTTGTAAGTGTTCATATGTACATACATACATATATATATCGATATCACGGTTGGGAAATCAGGGAATCGGAAACAGTTGGGAGGAAATTCCGCCGTGAGACCTCTACGAGGTTCGTTAAGCTCCTTTCCAAGGAACAGTACCATCATACGAAGCTCACCGGCCTGAAAGGAAATGGTTTCCGTTTTCGCTTTCTTCGCTTTCTTCGCTTTCTTCGCTTTCTTCGCTTTCTTCGCTTTCTTCGCTCTTTTCGCGTTCTCGCTTGATCGCCGACACTATATAGTAGGAAACAGTAATTCGAAACGGTACATGTTCCAGGCGGACAAAGCGAAACAGTTATGGGACGAGAAGCGGTACGACCGTTTCATCCAGTGCCTTCCGTCGATGTTAACGTCGAGCATCGCCGTATTGAAATATTTGAACGCCATGGTGAACATGGACAAGGTAACGAATTCCTCCATTGTCCAAGTTCTCGTTCTCGTTTCGTTCGAGACACCACTTACGAGAGAGCGCGTTGCAGTTGAAGGACATCCTGTTGGCCATTCGGAGCGACTCGGAACGGCACCAGAACCAGCCGGAGTACCGGATTTTCCACAAGCACAGCATGGAGGGAAGAACGTCCGTTGTAGCATTCGCCGGTGAGTCTCTCTACTTGTTCTTGGAGAAGATAATAACTTGGCAAATAAATGAAACCTTTTCAGGCTACATGTGCTTCGCGGCCGTCACGTACATGTCGCTCGCCGTCCACATGCTCGTAGAGGAGAACGCGAACCGCGTGAACGCCTCCGTGCCCAGAGAATTCTTGTACCAAGTGGACTACCACGTCGACCACGAGAAATATTTCTACCCGATAACAGCGCACACCTACTACGTGACCCTGCTGGTGATAGCGATAATCGTGGCACTGGACACCCTCTATATCATCGTCATCCAGCATTCCTGCGTTTTGTTCGCTGTCCTAGGGTACTTGGGCTAGCAACGCGTTGCCCGCGATCATTGAAATTCCTTGAAAACAATTACCAGACCGACGCGTCTCCCTGCAACGCTCGAAAGCTACGATACACGAAATCGTTCGATTACGAGGATCTTTTCACGGAAATAGCAATCTGCTCGAATAAATTGAAAGAATTCAAGGAAGATCATTGGTTAGCTATACGCGCAGTTGGTCCGCCAGAGAAAGTGTGTCGAGAACGATCCGCTTCGATGTTTCGACAGGTTCAAGCTGAGAACGGCTCACATCTTGAACGAAAGTGTCCTGTACCAGGGTGACGAGTACAAAAACGTGAGAATCTTGAGATACACCGTGGAAGAAGAGAACCGTGTGTTCCGGAAACTCGTAGGCTGCGCTATGGAGCACAACAGAGCGCTCGAGTGAGTTGATTCTTCGTTTCTCCCTTTACAGTTACGGGGAAGGTACAAAGATGTACTATTTTCGCGAATACGATCAGCCGATCGAGTTCTGTAATTCCTCCAGTTCCAGGCTTCTAAAAAAAAGCTGAAAAACCGAACAAACTCTATCCAAGGTCCTATATTTAGGAGCACTAGTTCCGTTCAGTTACGCCCAGACGCTTTACCGTTTCAGGTACGTGAAGCTGCTCCACGCGATGTTCTCCAGAACGTTGCTCGCCCAAATAATCGTAAACATCTTGTCCCTGAGCGTCAGTGGAATAGAAGTATGCAAACGATCTTAATGTCGGTACGAGTAAACATCTCGGCTCGTCGAATTCTTCAGCTGGAATTCTCTCTTCCAGATACTCTTGCAGCGAAACAACTTTGACGTTGTACTGGGAATGATCGTCTGGCTGGTGGGCGACGAGGTCCACCTGTTCTTCCTCTGCCTTTCCGGACAGAGGCTTTCGGACTTTAGCGAGAACGTCTACTACGACGCGTAAACGTCCAGTTCGCTCTATCGGGTCGCGTCCCAGAAGTTGTCGCGCACGTTTATCCCTCTACAATGTCCGACTACTCGACCATCCGTCGCTCGCGAGTACCTTCTGTCCGCTCAACTGAAACACGAAGGTTTCCAATTGCTCCCAGCCGAGTCCTCGCGTCGCTTTGCGATTACGAAACGTACACGCCTGACGGGATACGACCCGACACGATTGGGAATATTCGACGGAATCTCGCTAATTGTCGTCTTCCAGGGTGGAGTGCATGTGGTACACGTTCTTCGCGAAGAGCAAGGTCGTCTATCTATTCTTCGTGATGAACACCCTGATGCCTCAGCAATTGGTCGCGCTGAAGCTGACGGCGTTGAACATGGAAACATTCCAAGCGGTTCGTTCACTGTCCTCCGTGTTTGCTCGTTTGCCAGCTGTTTCGACGAATCCCGCGGCTCGCCGATCGAGATCGATCGTCGTCGCGATTCAACGGGAAACATGGTTGCAGGTAACGCGAATGGCTGCTTCGTATTTCACGGTTTTGTCTTCGACCCTTTGAGCGAAGGCGGATGGAAGGCCGAGCAGAATTTCCGAGCGTCGATGCGATTCGTCGATGCGATTCGTCGATGCGATTCGTCGATGCGAGAGCCGACTAGCAATCTTTACGGAATCATATCCAAGTATAAGCCGACGTGTATAACATCTACAAGATACATTGTGCGCGTGTGCGTGTGTGCTATTTAATACTCGTTAATCTGTAATATTGCCATACGTCGTTGAACGCGACACGCGTTTCAACCGACAAACCTATAGGAATTACCATGAAACAAGGTGTTTGCACAAGATCCAGCTATCCAGAATACAAGTATCGAATAAATCAGTCTTTTGCCAGAAATTCTTTCAGTCGGTTCGCGAAACCCATTACACCTTCGGTTTGGTTCGTTGTCGAGTTTACCTTTATTCTTCCACTGGCCCTTGTAATTGCAACTGTTCCGCATCATTTCAGAAGCGCGAGTCCGCGACGGATGTTGCCGCTCGCGAAGCCTGGCCGGCGGAAAAGAAACCGGCGAACGATATTACACCCTCTATTACAGCTCCATCGGAGTTCACTTTCTCGCGACTAGAGAAACAAGCCGCACAAACGTCCAGTGTAACACGAAAATCAGAATCTATGTAAACACACCGGTAAACAAGGTATCGAATAGTTTTAGTAATTCTCTCGATACCCTGTAATCCTGAAATCACGCACAGTCGCACCGAACTTTCCGCCCGAGCGTGTCAATTGGTTCGAGTCGATTGGTTACACGATTTCATTCGCCTTTCGCGTGCTACGCGGAATCGGATGAATCGACGACCTGATAAATCACTCGAAAGTGAAAGTGTGCGGGCCTGCAGAGGGTTGAGACACGAGCATCAACGGAACACGCGTAAAGCCAACGACGAAAACAACCCATCGCACTCTGAAAACGAGTTTCAGGGGGTACAAGGGAAACGGAACGAAATGCGAATGGCTGGCTCGATCTCTGCTCCCGAGACGAGCAACGCTTTCTGAACCAACCTAAACTAAACTGAACTACCGACCCTCTGAGAAGGAAAACTTTACCTCCGGCACCGTTGCACTAGCCACGAAGAGGATCGTCATCGCCTGCCTGACGGTGCGGGCCAACACCGGCTGGAACGGCCACACGCCGAAGAACAACATCAAACGCTTCACCAACGCATACGCCCGATGGTCGAAGAAATCCATAGGTTTTCCTCCATTCGCTTCCATTCGGTTTCGTGCCGGCGACAGCGCACGATTTAACGGGCAACACCGGCGAAAACTGGCAGTGGGCTCTCCTACTCGTTACACGGTGCAATATTTAAAAACGTTTCGCCAGTCTGTGCACGGCAAGGGGTTGACGACGCCGAGGCAATTGCTATCGATCCAGCGGAACGAGTGATCGGAGGCAGAGGAACGACACGTCCGTCGACCAGACAGCACGGTACATCCCAATTATCATCGTTACTGATAACTACCAGTAATCGTATACCAATCGTTCGTACATCACGCGGGCTTACTTATACCCAGCAAACTGTCAGGCGTCGGTCCTCGTAGGCAGCGCAGCGAGCGTTCGAATGTGCCACTCGAATATACTTGCACGCTTCCTGCCGAGAGCCAGAAATTACCTCCCTCTTCGCGGCCCTTTCGCAAACGCCGGCAGTAGACGGGGTGCATTCGAGTTGGGCTCGTTCGCTCTCTCATTCGGATATATGTAGAACAGCTCGAAACACCGACACATATTGCAACCTGACGCGAATCGATTAGGACGAGCCGTTTGTGGAAAAGAGTAGTCTTACGCGGACTTTCATTCGAGAGACAATCAACGATGTACTTGGAACGCATTTAGAAACGAGCGACTATCGCGTATCGACGGAGCCTGGCGTGTACTTCCATCGTTTTTTTCGAACTCGAACAGCACGCAAAGTTACAGTATGTCTCAGTCACCGAGTGCCGCGGGTTTCGCGTAAACGCGTCCGCTCCCGTTTCCCATTCGCCGTTCGATCGACAAAGTACCGCGGCAGAAATTATTCGGTTTCGAATTACCACCGCGGAGGAACGAAATGCGCCAACTGGAGGCTTCTAAATCTGATCGCGTTGATTTTTCAGATGAACAAGGCGAGGCTGTTGTTCTACGAGAAAAAGTACGGCGAATTCGTCCAGGCCCTACCGCCAACGCTCACGGGAATGGTCGCGTTGATCAAGTATGGGAACGTCATAGGCAAGATGGAAAAGGTAATGCTTCTACCTTCTAGCATTGCTAGCATTCTTCCAGTGGCGCCTTAGTCTGAAGACATTCACCGTTCGCAGGTAAAGAGCATTCTCCTGTTGATCAAAAGGGACAAGGAACAGTACGAGGACCTGCCCGAGTCTCGAATTCTCCCTAAATACGATCAGCAGGGAAGGCTGATCGTTCGGATCTTCGGAGGTACGTCGATCGTTTGTTCTTGCCCAAAAGAATCGCCAGCAGGCTCTTGGGACACGGCCGACGGTTGACCGCGTGTCACGTTTCAGGGTATCTCACCCTCGCGATACTGCTATTCCTGTCGATCCCGTTGCCAGAAATCATAAGGGACGCGAGGAACCTCGGGAACGTCACCGAGCCGAAAATGCTGCACCCGATGGAGTACAACATCGACCATTCTAAATATTACTACCAGATCACGGTGCACGCTTACGCCGGGTCCGCCATGAAGGTGTTCGTAATCATCGCGCTCGATTCGTTCTTCATTATAGCCATCCAACACTGTTGCCTGCTATTCGCTATCACAGGGTAAGTGATTTCCATCGTTTCCCTACGCAGTGCCGATGGCTGATCGTCCAGGTCTGAAGTGAACCCGAAACGAACCGTACTGACGAGAGTTTCCGTCACCCGAGGAGAGTTTGCTCTTCAATCTCGTATCGCGCTTTCCTCGATACCCTATTCGAATATCGTTCTACCATTTAGTCCAGTTGCCAGTGCCAACGGGTTCATCGAGAGAGCAGGCTGACCGACGAATCGATCGCTTAACAATTCCAACTGTCTCCTTTGTAGGTTTCAGTTGAAAACCGCTCACGTCTTGAATGAGAGTATCCTCTACCACGAGGACCAATGGAAAGTCGTGAACGTCGGAAGATTCACGACGCGAGAGCAGAGCCTCGTGTACCGGAAAGTTGTACGCCTTGTCGCGGGGCACATGTCGGCCCTGGAGTAAGTGCAAAACTGGACCTTTAACGCTAGGTGCTGATAGTTCGTACATTAGATAAGAGCAACTACTAAGTTTTGAGTGAATTTTCAGCAGCGAAATAACAACATTCGAATCAGTTTGGTGCCGACCGGTACGGTGGTCCTAGTGTCCATACAAACGTACGAATCGTGTTACAGATCGCCAACTCGATTGACAGCAATTCGATGTTTCAGATACGTGTACCTTGTCCAGTCAACGTTCTCCTCGGCACTACTCTTTCAAGTGTTCCTCACCCTCGTATGCATGACCGTCAGCGCGGTGCAAGTGCGTGTTCACGTGAGATCGACTCGTGTCGCGTACGCTTCGAAGCTTTAGTATAGTGGTGTATCAACATCTTTCAGATATTGCAGAACATGAACAACTATGACATTGTACTAGGAATGAATCTCTGGTTGGTAGGCCAGATAATGCATTTATTCTTCCTCTGCTTCAATGGACAAAGACTGTCGGACTATAGCGAGAACGTCTACTACGATGCGTAAGGAATCACTTGAAACACGTAATCGTTCGAAAACCGAACAACATCCGAATAACTATGCTTCCAGCATGGAGTGCGTGTGGTACACGTTTTGCGCGAAGAGTAAGGTCGTTTATCAGTTCTTCGTTATGAACACCATCACGCCTCACCGGTTGGTCGCCATGAAATTGATGGTGTTGGACATGCAAACCTTTCAAGCGGTGAGTAAGAGTGTCGTCTTCTTGATACCTGTATGCATTTGAACGCTCTCCTTCCCGTTATATCATTAGAATTCGTTAGCGATCCACTGTCGTTGGGAATACACTTGACGCGCAGTTTCCATTTGCAGGTGATGCGTCTGTCCGCCTCGTATCTCACGGTGTTGTTATCGGCGGTGTAGGTAACGTAGGATGAGGAGCTCGTATAGTTGTACGGTGTGTGCCGAGTATGTAGGAACTATATTTGGGTATCCAATAAATCGGTTTGTTGTCCTCTCGACGGCGGTCGATTTTCGTCTGATCCTTACGAGCATATTAACCTTTCTCGCGGAATTTACGCACTTTCTGGTCGGATCTGGCGCACAGGGACTCACCGAATAGGTACTATCGACAATGAGAACACGGTTGAACGCGTCGCGGGTTGCGTACGACCGGGAGGAAGTTCGGGAATTTCGGAATTGACACACTTCGAGCGACCTACTACTCGTTTAAATATAACTTTTCTCCGACGGGTAACGTATCACTTCGTTTTTAACGTTTCGGAGGACAAACAGTGTTTCCTTCGTCATCCGAACCCAATTTTTTCCCTGGCTGTTCGGAACTCCGCCATGCTGCAGCGCTTCGAGACTTTCAGCTGCCCGATCAATGATCTCCGGACACATTGAGCAAGCTGTCGCAGCATGGACCCTTCTAGCCATCGAATCCAGTGCAATTTCTTGGAACCCAAAGGACTTTTGGTGAAAAGATACAAGTTCTCGCCACTACTGGAGCACCTTTCCTGAAAACCACTGCGCCCTCGCACGAACAACATGTAAAACGACCACACGAATTGATGCAGTGCAGTGCAGTTTGGATGACAGGGTCATAGGAAAACGGCAGCAAAGCTGTAGGTTTGTCAGTGATTTACACTTGTGTTTCCAGAGACAATTCCAACGCACATTCGCCTACGAGAAACGGAATGAAAAACGTGTTACCTCCGGTATCATTACACTTGTCAAGCAGAGGATCGTCACCGCCTGCCTGACGGTGCGGGTCAACAACGGCTGGAACGGCCACATGCCGAAGAACAACATCAAACGCTTCACCAACGCATACGCCGGATGGTCGAAGAAATCCATAGCTTTTCGTTCATTGGCTTCCATTCGGTTCTGTGCCGGCGACAGCCCACGATTTAACGGGCAACACCGGCGAGAACTTTCCGTGGGCTCTCCTGACCGCGCTAATATTTAATAACGTTTCGCCAGTCTGTGCACGGTGAAGGGTTGACGGCGCCGACGAAATTGCTATCGATCCAGCGGAAAGTATGATGACAGCCGGGGAACGACACGTCCGTCGACCAGACAGCACGGTAAACCCCAATTACCATCGTTACTGATAACTACTAGTAATCGTATATCAATCGTTCGTACGCCACGCGGGCTTACTTATACCCGGCAACCTGACAGGCGTCGGTCCTCGTAGGCAGCGCAGCGAGCGTTCGAATGTGCGACTCGAATATACTTGCACGCTTCCTGCCGAGTGCGAGAAGTTACCTCCTTCTTCGCGACCCTTTCGCAAACGCCGGCAGTAGACGGGGTGCATTCGAGTTGGGCTCGTTCGCTCTCTCATTCGGATATATGTAGAACAGCTCGAAACACCGACACATATTGCAACCTGACGCGAATCGATTAGGACGAGCCGTTTGTGGAAAAGAGCAGTCTTACGCAGAGTTTCATGCGAGAGACAATCAACGATGTAATCAGAACGCATTTAGTAACGAGCGATTATGGGGTATCGACGGAGCCTGACCAATACTTGCATCCTTTTTTTCGAACTCGATCAGACGCAAAGTTACAGTATGTCTCAATCACCAAGTGCCGCAGCTTTCGCGTAATCGCGTCCGTTCCCGTTTCCCATTCGTCGTTCGATCGACAAAGTGCCGCGGCAGAAATTATTTCGGTTTCGAATTGCGCGGGACGTAATCTGTTTTGTTCGCTGGAGTTGCCGCAGGGGAAGGAAATGCGGAAAAATTCTAAAGCTGATCACGTTGATTTTTCAGGTGAACAAGGCGAGGCTGTTGTTCTACGAGAAAAGGTACGGCGAATTCGTCCAGGCCCTGCCGCCATCAATCACGGTCACCGTCGCGTTGATCAAGTATGGGAACGTCGTGGGCAAGATGGAAAAGGTAAAGCTTTGCGGAACCATCTACCTTCTAGCTTTGCTAGCATTCTTCCAGTAGCGCTTTAGAAGAAGGATGTTCGTTCGAATCGGTTGTTGCCAGAAGAGTTTAATCGTTCTTGATTCGACGGTCCGATTCACCGTTCGTAGGTGAAGCGCATTCTCCTGTTGATAAAAAACGACAAGGAACAGTACCAAGACCTGCCGGAGTCCCGAATTCTTGCCAAATACGATAGGCAGGGAAAGCTGATCGTTCGTATCTTTGGAGGTACGTCGATCGTTTGTTCTTGCCGAAAAGTATCGCCTGCAGGCTGTTGGGACACGGCCGATGGTTGACCGCGTGTCACGTTTCAGGATATCTCACCCTCGCGATACTGCTATTCCTGTCGCTCCCGTTGCCAGAAATCATAAGGGACGCGAGCAACCGCGAGAACATCACCGAGCCGAAACTGCTGCACCCGATGGAGTACAACATCGACCATTCAAAGTATTACTACCAGATCACGGTGCACGCTTACGCCGCGTCTGCTCTGACGGTGTTCGTAATCGTCGCGCTCGATTCGTTCTTCATTGTAGCCATCCAACACTCCTGCCTACTATTCGCTATCACAGGGTAAGTGATTTCCACCGTTTCTGCACGCACAGCGGACGGCTGATGCTTCAGGTCTGAAGTGAACCCGAAATGAACCGTAATAACGAGAGTTTCCGTCGCACGAGAAAAATTTGCTCTCGAATCCCGATTCGCGCTTTACTCGATACCTTATTCGAATATCGTTCTACCATTTATCCAAGAATCGCGCCACACTGTAATGCCGAAATGCTTGAAATGGTCAAGCTGCCAGTGCCAACGGGTTCTTCGAGAGAGCAGGCTGACCGACGATTCGGCCGCTTAATAATTGCATTTGTTTCCTTTGTAGATTTCAGTTGAAAACCGCTCACGTCTTGAATGAGATTATCCTCTGCCACGATGACCAATGGAAAATCGTTAACGTCGGAAGATTCACGACGGCAGAACAGAGCCTCGTGTACCGGAAAGTTGTACGCGCTGTCGCGGGGCACATGTCGGCCCTGAAGTAAGTGCAAAACTGGATCTTTAACCCAAGAACTACCAAGCGTTTCGTACATTTCTTTTCATTTCTGCTGATAGTTTGTACATTAACTATGAGCAACTACTCAGTTTTGAGAGAAGTTTGAGCAGCGAAATAAGAACATCCGAATCGGTTTGATGCCGACCGGTACGGTAGTCCTAGTGTCGATACAAACGTAGGAATCGAGTTACAGATTGCCAATCCGATTGACAGCAATTCGATGCTCCAGATACGTATACCTTGTCCAGTCAACGTTCTCCTCGGCACTGCTCTTTCAAGTGTTCCTCACTCTTGTATGCATGACCGTCAGCGCGGTGGAAGTGCGTGTTCACGTGAGATCGAGCCGACTCATGTCGCGTACGCTTCTAAGCTTTAGTATAGTAATGTACTAAAATGTTCCAGATACTGCAGAACATGAACAAGTATGACATTGTCCTAGGAATGATGCTCTGGTTGGTAGGCCAGATAATGCATTTATTCTTCCTCTGCTTCAATGGGCAGAGACTATCGGACTATAGCGAGAACGTCTACTACGATGCGTAAGGAATCACTTGAAACACGTAATCGTTCGAAAACCGAACAACATCCGAATAACTATGCTTCCAGCATGGAGTGCGTGTGGTACACGTTTTGCGCGAAGAGTAAGGTCGTTTATCA